CCCTACTTGAGCGTTAAAGTCACCAGCTAGAACGACTATGTCTGAGCGTTTAGCCTTTCTCACCAAACTAGACAGCTTTTGGTAGAACTCATCCTTCGTTTCATCTGAACTGCAGTCAGTGGGGGCGTAGGCGGAGATTACGAAAAGGCATCGGCGAGTAGTGCAGTCCTTCCTCCTTCTTACTGATCCGTTCAGGCGGACAGCACACATTCGGCTATCTACCGGGATCCAGTCAAGCAATGTCTTTTCTGCCCTAGTACTCAAAGCTATCCCTACGCCAGCTAATCCTCGTGAACTAGCTGTGGCATCTCCTGACACCCTCAAGGTGAATTTTGCAGATTCAACCTGTTGGCCAGGTGGGGTTAGGTGAATAACCACACTTGGGTCTTGTATGCGTGTTTCTGAAACACAGCATACATCAATGGCTCGTGATGCCAGGGTCTTGGCTAGTGATGCTTGTTGTCCTATTTGGCAAAGTGTCCTAACATTAAGAGCTCCTATATGAAATTGGTGGCGCGGCTTTAAGAGGCTGTCGGTGGTGGTTTTTTGGCTTCCATCGTTTTTAGTGGACGCAGAGTGGAGAGGAAGTGGAGAGCTATCAAGTCGAGGAGTTGCATCAGTGGAAGGAAGGCAAGATGATAGAGATGAAGATGAAGACAAAGATGAGTGAGTAATAGAGAGGTTTCGTGTGCATTTCGGATTGTGAGGGCGATTGTTACTTCCCGGCTGCCCACACCGTGGAAGTTGGTTGCGTGACCGCAGAGCCCAGGGGACAACTGCTTGAGGCCGGTCACACGCGGCCTGTTTTTGTTTGTTCTTTTTGTTTGGTGTGTCTCAGTAGCAGATTTATCACTCCCGCCCTGTGACACGGCAGCAGGAAGCGCGGTCGTTGTTAATCCGGGCCACGGCCGATCCGGCATGAAATTTTGTAATTTTGTATTGGACATGATGTTGGATTGGGTAGCTGCTTTTTGTTTAACCGCTATCCAAACAACCTGCCTGGCATGGTAGAACCTCAAGAGACATAAGTCTCAGCCAGTATAGCTTGATTAGGTCATTGCGGTGTTCAAGCCCGACCACCACGTCAAGGTAGCAGCTTTCGGTCGGGAAAGGGTGTGAGGATATATCGAAATTACTAAAGAATATTTCGGAATAATGAACGGGTGTTACACAATTGTTTAAAGGTGTAAAATCAACAACAGTAGACGCGAGCATTGCATAGTTTAGTTGAACAGAGATCAAAAATAGACCGATCAGGAATGCAGATGACAAAATGAATGGCAGGGAATTAATTACGTTGTCAAAACAAAATATACGAACGAGATTTACAACCGTTTCCTTCTAGGTGCGTAAATACTGGCAATCGGTTCAGTGATACGTAGCAACCTGAACTTGCTTCTATATTAAGCCATCTGGTCGAACACACGTCATAAAGCTGGTATTGAAGAATCTTTGTCTATCACCTATTGGGTGCCAGATAAATTGTCAAAAGCCTCTAGATAACGAATACTCTGAAGATCAGCGGTGATTGCAATTCGCGCAAACACAACTGTAACTCTGAATTTAGGGAAGAAACAGGTTTTCTCGGCGACTACAGTGGTTCTAGATAGTGAACCTCAGTAGTTTGAAGGAATTCTGGATGTACTCAGATCTACGTAGTATTTGTCAATTATCATCTTACGAGTATACTTCACGGGGATAAATTCCTAGTATCAAAATCTCATCATGACTAAGAGATCTGGTATGTTCTATCTTACATCACCACTGTTGTCAATAGGATATCCGCCTATCCTTCCAAGGACAAATATACTAGTCAGTTCGTTCTCTGATTTTCTCATGTTGAAACAAGACATGTAGGCGGACAACATTGTTCTCAATTAGATCTTCTTAAGGCTTCACCTTTATGCGCATGGCTCCATATATACGCATACACAATTTAACCAATGACAGTGAGTTTGTGAGTCAAATTATAACATTACTAATAGTGATAAGTGTTAAAGCTCTTGAACGTCAGTATTCACGGTGATTATAATAGCAGCCAAAATAAAGATAACAAAAGTACAAAAAGTTTATGCAGGTGACTACTATACAAATAACGAAAGTAGTATGTGCTGTTTATGTAGACAACCCCAATACATAAAAATTAGGCTAAATGTTAAGTGGACAGATGATCGGAGTTCAAATATGTATAATAAAAGTACGAAAGAGATGAAGATATAGATAGGGTCGGGAGTTGTTGATTTGAACTTACGCGTAGAGCAAGGGAGAGACAGGTGGTAGAAGAATCTTCTTTTGTATGCAAAGACTAAGATTGTTCTCTCAACATCGCATAGCTTCGGCTCTGTGTAAGAAGCGATTTCGAATTCCGTTTGACAGAATCGATGTAGTGCTGTAGATAACATTGAAGACATTTCTTCTGTCTACTTGGTGACCACTATCAATCGAATGAGACCAGACAGATCTTCTTAAAATGACCTTACCTGGCCATTTACAAACCATGTAGGAAGATGTTCGGTAATACATTTGTTGAGCTGTCTAGTTGTTCACCCTATATAGCTGTGTCTGCAGGAACGGTTGAATTTATAAGTGCACATAGAAGTAGTACAGCTAGGCAGGCACCTTATCTTACACCTGAGCAATTATATTTGGTTGGCTGGAAAATGACAGACAAAGAATGGCTACTGTACAAGTCTGACTGAAGTGAATTTGTATCAGATTGGTACAAAACTGAAGGCGTGTGTATATCGTCCAAGAGACGTAGGTTTTGTTTAGACATCTCTGTTGAGTGAACCATCCTCTCTTCTGTTCAATTGGACATTGAGGGAGTGTACTCTACACCACAGTAATATCATGTCGTTCCACACAATTGAATATGAGCGATGGATGTACATCATCAAAATTTGTTATAACGCAGATTTCTGAATAAGCCTTGTTGGTTGAATCGGGTTTAGGCTTGAAGGAAGGCTGGGGATTTCCGGATCAAACCAAAATACCAGGCTTTAGCAACTGAGGATGTTGACGTTCATCGATAGGATGATGTATACTAGGGGAAAATCTATTACCCACAACTGATAGTATCCGTTTTGCGTAGACCAAAGGCAGGGTGAAATACCAAATTGATCATCCAAGTTGAGAAAGATATTGTTCTCAATTAGATCTTCTTAAGGCTTCACCTTTATGCGCATGGCTCCATATATACGCATACACAATTTAACCAATGACAGTGAGTTTGTGAGTCAAATTATAACATTACTAATAGTGATAAGTGTTAAAGCTCTTGAACGTCAGTATTCACGGTGATTATAATAGCAGCCAAAATAAAGATAACAAAAGTACAAAAAGTTTATGCAGGTGACTACTATACAAATAACGAAAGTAGTATGTGCTGTTTATGTAGACAACCCCAATACATAAAAATTAGGCTAAATGTTAAGTGGACAGATGATCGGAGTTCAAATATGTATAATAAAAGTACGAAAGAGATGAAGATATAGATAGGGTCGGGAGTTGTTGATTTGAACTTACGCGTAGAGCAAGGGAGAGACAGGTGGTAGAAGAATCTTCTTTTGTATGCAAAGACTAAGATTGTTCTCTCAACATCGCATAGCTTCGGCTCTGTGTAAGAAGCGATTTCGAATTCCGTTTGACAGAATCGATGTAGTGCTGTAGATAACATTGAAGACATTTCTTCTGTCTACTTGGTGACCACTATCAATCGAATGAGACCAGACAGATCTTCTTAAAATGACCTTACCTGGCCATTTACAAACCATGTAGGAAGATGTTCGGTAATACATTTGTTGAGCTGTCTAGTTGTTCACCCTATATAGCTGTGTCTGCAGGAACGGTTGAATTTATAAGTGCACATAGAAGTAGTACAGCTAGGCAGGCACCTTATCTTACACCTGAGCAATTATATTTGGTTGGCTGGAAAATGACAGACAAAGAATGGCTACTGTACAAGTCTGACTGAAGTGAATTTGTATCAGATTGGTACAAAACTGAAGGCGTGTGTATATCGTCCAAGAGACGTAGGTTTTGTTTAGACATCTCTGTTGAGTGAACCATCCTCTCTTCTGTTCAATTGGACATTGAGGGAGTGTACTCTACACCACAGTAATATCATGTCGTTCCACACAATTGAATATGAGCGATGGATGTACATCATCAAAATTTGTTATAACGCAGATTTCTGAATAAGCCTTGTTGGTTGAATCGGGTTTAGGCTTGAAGGAAGGCTGGGGATTTCCGGATCAAAGCAAAATACCAGGCTTTAGCAACTGAGGATGTTGACGTTCACCGATAGGACGATGTATACTAGGGGAAAATCTATTACCCACAACTTTGATAATATCCGTTTTGCGTAGACCAAAGGCAGGGTGAAATATCAAATTGATCATCCAAGTTGAGAAAGATATTTCGGGATCGAATCGAAGTGCGAGGTTGATTTCACAGCTAGCTAGGGATCGTGCACGAAAGAATGAACGAAGGTATCACGACGGTGTGCTAAACAGGGTGGAGGTTTCAGCGTGAGTATCCAGCTAAACAAGTCGACTTTTAACAGTGACGGTCAACATCCGATATTCAGTGATGAATGCTGTGGCTAATAATTTTGGGGAATTATCTACCGCTACAAGCCCATGGAATCAGTCAATGATTGTTACTCATATCAGCCATTTCAAGAAAGAAAATGTCTGTCCGACTGCGGTTAACTGAGAATTGTTTGACGAATAGCAAATCTGTTATTTACTTATCGTTTTCGATAATTTTCGGACATTTTCTCTCGCCAACGTTTCCTGTATTTTGTAAATTAATTAGTAAGTGTGAATTTCTCACAGATTTATTGTGTGGCATTCTCAGTGAGTTCATGGTTTCCAAATTCCGAATATTATCGAAGACCACAACCCAAGCTTACTATGATGCTGCTGAATGAAATCTCACGAGTTCTGAATTCACTCTAACATCCTGTAGTGAGTAAATTCCGAATCAGATCATGAGTGGTTTCTTTGAGCGCACAGACTAGAACCCACTCAGTGCTGGTTTTCATCATAACTGGCACTAATTCAGCATCCTGTTACTTTTCTAGGCATTTTCGAGAGTAGATCAGAACTTACTGGGTTCGCTCATCAGCGTTCTTCCAGCCCTCTCAGCTCATATTAAGCACTGACTGTCACTACCACTCAATTCAGAACGAAAAGACTGCAACTGATTGTCGTTATCTGTATCCTATACTGCCAAAATTCATTTAGTTTGCAGAAACAAATCAGTCGTATAATTGGGAGAATTTTGTATTTTGAATTTATAGTACTATGCGACTGCAAATCCGTCAAGTGAGGTCCACAGGTAGTATCCTGTAAATAATCGGAATATAAGTTTAGTTGAGGGAAAATTGTGTTCATCACGTTTTCAGCATTTACATTTGGAAAGGTGTGCTTATATAGCTGCGACTGTTGGCTCCCTAGTTTCTTCTTCATTTGCCTAGAGAAATAAAAATCTATGTTTTGGTTACTACATGCAGAGTAAACCATGACTTATAAAAGTAAGCAGGCGTTTGACAACATCACATGAATTCCTAAATTCCTCATGTTACTCCTTTGGAGGCAGTCTTTCAAATTATGAAAGTATGATTTCGTGACCCTACACAATGCCAGTTGGCCGGAGAACTGCACCGTTATTATGGCTACAGAAATAAGTACTTCATTAATGAAGCTTAAATCTCATTATTTTATAAAAGACATTGAACACGATGCTGGACTTTGTCAAATTCCCATGTAATGTCAACTTCAAACTCACCTCATGTTGTAGAACAGTGTGCATCATGACCTTGAGTGATTAATTCGGATCACTGGGAAGGCAGACAACCGTTTTAGCAGTCTAAAAGAAATGGGAATTAAATATGTGAACTCACAAATATCCCCTTGTGCTTTTCGTCTCTAAGAGATGCTGGAAGCATCTCTAAACGGTCTTATTTCGCGATATATATATATATATATATATATATATATATATATATATATATATATATATATATATATATAAATGAATGGCTGACTTGGTGTTTGACAACCAACTGTCATAATCGCCTCATTTTATGATCGTGATTAATTATGGTCTTCCCATCTTCAAGTTGGTGACGAATTAGTATACACTTGATTATTGCTGACATACACATGCGTGTTTTCGACTACAGACGTTGTTTGTGTTTTCTCTTGTTTTTGCTGGTATAGTGTGGTGAGAAATACTGCTGTCAGACGCAATGTTAGATAAGAAAGGTTAGTCTAGGACCCGTGAAGCTACATCTATGCAGATGGCTAAGACACATGTTCCGCATTCTGAGCTGTTGCGATTCTCTTCGAGAAATGTTAGCTGACATAGGATTATGTTTGAAAAGAGTTACGGATGAACATAGTAAAACCTGGGATCAGTCCAGGTGAAGAATTCAACAGTTGCTTGGAGCCATGTACGGAGAGAGGAGATTTAAACAGCTAGCTTTGAGTACTTGGGATGCTAAGAATCAGTGGGACAGATGTATTCATCCTTTGGGTATCTAATATCCACCAATCCGTCATGCTTTTCCATGTTACACCTCTTTCCGTTGGACATTTCTGTTGCAGAGTTCTGCATTAGTCACTGATCACTCTCTTAGGATCTTCATGGATCGATATCATGGGTGATATCATGCAAGTGGCAAGCAATCGCTCTATTGAGGACTTTTTCACAATTCCCTCACAAGTTTCTTGGATTTCGCTTTGGTGCATAGTCCTGAATCCTTTCTTCTCTTTGGGTGATGTGTGTACCTGGATTTGCACACTGTAAATTGGTGCATGCAGTTGTAGGTAACATCAAACGAGGGCGTCGTTACCAATCTAGTGTAGTGACGTCATTTCATTCTGTCCAATCTTTTCTTCTTACTTTGTTCATGTCATCTACTGCGTGGATGTCGTTTGACTTTTTCACTTTGCATGAATTAGTTAGTGTAGAGTTTGAACAGTTTCTGATGGGACATTGTACTAGAGCGAAATGTTTAGATTATTCGAAACATCTAGACTTGGCTTCATTCAGCATGCTAAATTTATTGTAGCTTTCATAGTCTTTCCAACCGCCGTCACTTTTCTCCTTATTCCTTCGAGCTCTCAGTGGAACATGGGCTTTAAGCTTTAACGTTTGGGTGCCTAGCCTCACCTCCAGAAACTTTCTTTCTTTCCCGGACTTTCTAACGCCTGGGCGAGGTTTACGATTTCATCGGTGTGCAGGAGTCAAACTTCGACGATAAGCATAGCTGGTGAGCATTCAACGTCTGAACCACATTGTCTAGTAGCTTCTTGATCTCTTCATTTGACTCTGGGTTGTCTGTGTTGACCGCGTATCATGATGCAGTTCGATATATTTGTAATTATTGTTGAGTCACTTTTATAAGTCTTCCCAGTGTCTACGTTTTTATCATTTTTAAGATTCTCATTTTCTTAAGTTTGGTTTCACATTTTGTTTTTAGTGTTTTAATTTTACTGCATTTTGTACCCGGACATTTTCAGCTGTTGTCTTATCGATTGAAGTTTGTGCTATCTGTTGACTGAGAATTTAATGTTTGAGCTTCACTTGATTTACCGCCACATTAAAGTTTAATGCTTTCTTAAGAACTTTTATAACACTTTTGAGGTTAAGCTTTGTGTGCTTATGGTTGTAGTGTGTGTGTTTGTGTGTCTGGAAGGATATTGCTTTCTAGCTGTTCATCCCGTGAAATCTGATTTCTTCATGGAATATCTGAAAGAGAAGCAACACTAGTGCTGCATGACTACACAGCTCAGGGAACAACTTCTTGAGGCTGCTTACACACGACCTGTTCGAAGTATTTCTTTGAGTTGTTTCCGTATTAATATCTTACAGTCGTTTACAGGATGCTAGAAGGGCGATTTGGGATGTACACTTCCCAGAGTCGACCTTGTCTAAGCCCTTTATTAGAGCGAAGGTAGCTTACCTGACTTACTGGGGAACACCTTAATGCTGCTACGTTACTATTCGCTAATAATACAGTGTTGCCATCACACCTCCCATATAATACCAATGACTTATACTATAAAGGTGACAGCTTTCGGTCTGATCGCCATCCAGACGACCTTTCTGTCATAGTCGAACCTGCAATAACGGATAACTGAGATATGCCAACTCATATGCACCCCATCAAGATAGCAGCTGTCGGTCAGGAGTTATCCACTAGGCCATGTAAGGGGGTGTCGACTGTCTGGTTGAAGTCCTTGGGATGCTAAGAACCAAGACTATTGGTGGTGTGCTTCAAACTCATTCTCAATGACACAGATGTACTAACTCTTCGTAATATCTTAGACCGGTGAATTCCTCATGTTTCTCCATGTTGACAGGCTTTCTTCTAAACATATCTGCTTAATAAAGTTCTTCTGAATATCTGTTTTCCCTTATCTCTACCTTCATGTGCTCTATGAAGTTTGTCAAAGTGAACGGCTTAACTAATGTTCAGCGGTGTACGTTAAAACTCAGTCATTTTGTCTCTATTGTTTATAGGTGTTTGATGAAACAATTTGTCCTATCACTTTTGATGTTTTCATTTGTTCCATGGATTTGTTGTAAGAATTCTTGATTTTCTGGAAGCTGCTTCTCAAGCTTTTTTGGCTATATATATCAAGTAGTATTTTGTGGTATTCGCTGTTAACTGAACACTTGAGTTTCTCAATTTCTATTTCTTGAATCGCTTAGTTTCTTTATAGTTCTATGGAGTGCTACATCTTTAGATATAGTCTGCTGACATGTTGAACTTACTTGGTATAATTACAGACTATGTAGGTGTAAGTATTTAAGAATAATTTAGTTTTTTTTTTGAAGGTAGGATGCTGGGTATGATACGATGGTTTGTGAGTAGTGACTTCATTTTCAGAAACAGTGTGGGGTTTTGCTGATAATCTACCACACTGAACGGCCATAATATAACAATAGGATATAAGCCCTGTGGTAGAGTATAATTCATAAACTGTCTCATTCTAAACATTCATAGGACAGAGCATTCTATTGAGGAGATTATTCAAGGGAGATGACTGTGACTTTAAAGGTACATCGCTGTTTCACTCTGTTTCCTGATGTGTTGATTTCATCTAGTTCCACGACTGTCCATAATCTTGCATTTCATCACCACTTTCCTTCTCCTACATGTCACCCTAACGATGTCCAACTAGTCTTTCCCTACTCAAGTTTCATTCAAGGGCCAAATTAGCGTGTGATATAACTCAAAGGCCTCTACAGAGTATACCGAAGCTATCTCTATTTTCATCTGCATGTTTTTTTCTTGTGCAACAGGTTGTTGGTTGGTTCTTTGCACTGTTCGAGTTCTTGGTTGTTAATCGTTTCTTGCCAGAGCCATCTGATCTTCAATATGGAGGCAGTGAAGACAGCTGTTGCTGTACCATGCTGTTCTCTAGTTCGAAACCATACTGCCCATATAAGTGCCAGAGGTGACTTCCTGTTGATTTTTCCACTTTATGGTGATTAGTGCTGGTTGTTGTTGTTGGTTAAGTACCTCTATCACCCATGTCTTATCTGTGTTCACTCGAAATCCCATCTTCTCTTCTTTTGCTGCCTACTTGTCAATTTTGGCCTGTAAATATTTAAATTTGTGAAGCATGAGACAAAACATCTACGATGCCTGGATCTTCTACAGTCTTTTTGTCGGCTTAGTGTAAGCTTGTCTGTTCACTCCTCTTGGTCGGTTGCATGTTTCGGTCGACTGAACGAGGAAAATCATGGATGGATAGTGGACAGCCAACTTCTTTTACGCCTACCTTCACCTTAAAGGATTCTCTGAGTTTTCCAATGGGAAATCACTTGACATGTGTAGCTGTTAAACACGTTTTATTAGGGTCTGCATCACTGCATTCCATATATTTGAAGCAGCTAGCAAATTACTTCAGTGTCAACGCTGCCCAAGGTCTTTAAAAAATCGATGAAGTTGAGCTACATAAATAACTACCATTCTATGTTCTGTTATGTGATGATACGCAGAGCACCACTTAGGTCCACACATGATTTACTTTTACTGAACCCAGCTTGTTTTTTTTGAATGGGTGGAATTTCGCTTCCAGAGAATCCTTTTAGTCTCTCCACTAGAATGCAGCTTAGCAGTTTGCCTAGGGTGGACAAGACAGTGAATCTACACTAGTTCTTCTTCTTCTTCTTCACTTCGGCTATCTCCTGCGGGAGGATAAGCCGGCTTCATGAACCATGAAGTTTCATGGGAATTGGGTACGAGTGATGTCCCCACCATCGCTCGGCCTTTGTTTGAGAGTGCAGCTCTAGCCTTTACACAACCAAGTGTGACCTACAAGGCAGTAGGAGTGGAGTACGGAGTCCACTATCCATTGGCAGCCGGTGACCGGAGTCCGGTTCATTCGCCTTTTTGAATGGGGCCAGTCATCCAGGGCATCCAATAAGCCCTTTGTCCATACGTCTGCCGGTGAGCTCCGGTGAGCTTCATACGCCAGTCGTTGGAGGTTTGGAATCAGGGTTTAGCCATCTCCCCTAGACTGTCATCCGATGGACAGTCAACCCGGTGAACAGCGCCGGGCATCCGCCTTTGCCCTTTCACTTTGGTAAAAAACACCTCCGCCACGTGAAGGCAGTGAGTAGGACTTCCCCAGGAGAGGCTATGTAAGACGCCTGGTCATATGGGAGCATTTCAAGAGGTGTACGGAGGGGTGGCCAACCCGCAGCGCAAGACACCCACCCCCGACCATCCTGAGGCTTTGGAGGCTTGCATAAGCCTAAGTCATGCTTCTTTGAGAGTTTGACAGGATAGCCTTGCTTTTGGTCGATAGTTACATTGGCTTTCCTTTAAAGCTTCTGACACAGTAGAATGAGTATTTCCTCTGAAGTTTCCTACTTCCGTTTTTAAAGCTTCTGTGTGGAG